AGGGCAGTGCCACCTTCCAGAATACGGGGACAAGTAGGGGGACATCTTGGGGAGCCAGCAGAAACTCAGCCAGGAAAGTGAGGTCCTAGATTGCATGTTTATGAGACAGGGTCTCCTGGCTCTTGTAGAGACAAGGAGGGGCTATAGAAGTGGGCCCTGCTTCTGCCACCTCTGGGTGGGGAGAGAAGAGGCTAGCAGAACGCAGAGAGTCTTCCTAACCTGGAGTCGGCTCTCACTGACTGCCCGCATTCACAAGCTCTACCTAGGCCACTCAGGACCCCGCACTTATGGTACCCCAATAAACAGAGAAAAGTGCTTCACATCGAGGTGACCCAGAAGCCAGAGGCAGAAAGAACAGCATAGCCCTTGTAACAGTTAGATGTTCTGTTAAATTCTCTGAGCTCCAAAGATGGAGAGAAAGTTTTATAAGCTTCTAGAGAAAAAGAAAAAAAATTTTTAAATGATAAACTTAGAAAGGAAGGGGCATTAGGCTCTTATTTGTAACCCTAGAGCCTTATAGTTCACTAAAAAGGGATGACTTTTAACTCAATAATTTTGTGGTGGGTGTAGTGTACCCTCAAGTCAATATAGACTCTCGGCAACCCTACAAGACAGAGTAGAACTGCCCGTGAGGGTTTCCAAGGTTGGAACCTTTACAGGAGCAAGATGACATGGCTTGTCCTACAGCATGCCGACAGCCAATCAATCTATCATCTACCATTCATGGCGGTTATCAACATGCAAGGATTCAGGGCTTTTCATGCAGGTGCTTGTTAGTTGTTGCTGGGTGCAGTGGACTCCCTTCCAGCTCAAGCAGCCTTATGCACAAGAGAACAAAGCACCGCCTGGCCGGCACTGTCCTCCCAATTCTTCTCATGGTCGAGCCCATTGTTCCAGCCACTGTGCCAGTCCATCCTGTCCACGGCGCTTCCTCTTTTTCTCACTGCCCCTCAGCTTTACCAACCACAATGTCCTACTCCAGGGACAGGTCTTGCTTGACAACAGGTCCAAAGTAAGTGAGACAAAGCCTCGCCATCTTTGCCTCTAAGCAGCATTCGGACTGCATGTCTTCCAAGACAACATTGTTTGTTCTTTTGGGAGTTCGTGGCAATTTCAATATTCTCCACTAACACCCTTCTTCAAATACATCAATTCGGTTTTGGTCTTCTTCATTCAATGTTCAGTTTTCACATGCATGCGAGGTGATTGAAGAGACCCTGGCTTGGATTAAGAGTACCTTAGTTGTCAAACTAATATGCTTGCTACCCATAGTCAAATGCTTTTGCATAATCCATAAAACACAAGTAAAAATCTGTCTGGTATTCCTTGATTTCAGCCATGATTCATCTGACAGCAGCAATGAGATGTCTTTTTTCACATCCTCTTCTGAATCCGGCCTGAACCTCTGGCAGCTCCCTGTCAATGCACTGCTGCAACCACTGCTGGATGATCTTCAGCAAAATTTCACTTGTGTGTGATGTTAATGGTATTGCTTTATGATTTGAGCATCCTCTTGAGTCACCATTCCTTGGCATGCGTACAAATATAGATCTTGTCTGGTCAGTTTGGCCAAGTAGCTGTCTTCCAATTTTTAAAAATTTTTATTGGCATGGATGAATGAATGTATCCAGTGCTTGATTTGAGGAAAATGCTCGAGAAAAAAACTAACCCAAGTCCAAATGACTCTGGAAGAGACCACAAGAGAGAGGAAAAGGAAAAGAAGTAACAGCAGAAGTAATCAATGATCCTTAAAAAAAAAAGCCCCCCTCCCCCCAAAAAACAAACTCACTGCATCAAATTGATTCTGACTCCTGGCAGTTCTATTGGACAGGGTAAAACCACCTCTGTAGGTTTTTGAGACTGGAACTGTTTACTGGAGTATAAGAGGCCTCATCTTTCTGCGGTCTGGTGGTCTTGAACTGCTGATCTTGCAGTTAACTGCCCAACCTGTAACCACTGCACCCCCAGGGCTCCTTGGAAGACAAAACAGAAAGAAAGAGCATCATCATTTCATTTGAACGAATGCTAATCAATACATGGTCTCTGTACCAGAAGTGCTTAAAAGAGGAAGAAAAAATATTGACATAGTGGAGGCATTCTGCAAGCAAAAATCCTAATTCTAGCCCAGTTAAAAGTATCAAGTTATTTTAGCAAAGCCCAGTTGGATTGCTGGGAGGACAAGACGGTCAAAATATTCCAAATAAATTCTCTGGTGCTAAAAGGGAGAAAGAGGGCAAATGTGAGGGACGCTCAATGTCATCCATTTGTAGGCAATAACTTGTGCAGGAATAGAGCCTCTGGGCAAGAAAATTCCTGAAGCCTTTCATTATTTTAGGAGAGCTATGTATATGCTTATGAGAATTGGGAAAGGGAAGATCACCATTCATGACATGGCAGAGTCCAGGAGCAGTCCCCAGTTAAGAAGTGGAGGAAGGAATGATTGGCAACCGGATCAAACCAGTTAAAATAATGAAAAGGAGGAAGGAAGCAATCCTAGTAACATGTGTCACACACAGAGAATGAGACGCAAAGACGAACGAAGGACAAACAACACAGTGTAGGGTAGCGATGGAGGACAGTCTTTAGAGCTACCCTCTCTGGGTTTACATTCCAGCTGTTACTTATTAACTGTGACTGTTTTAACAGTTAATCTGGGGGAGGCGGGGAGTGATAATGATAGAACTTCCTGCATAAGGTGTTGTGGTCATTTAATGAGTTAACATACTGTTGTTGTTAGTCCAGGTAGACTAGAGAAATAAAATTCATATGTGTATAAGAAAGATCTTTCTATAAAGAGTAATTGCATATTAAGAAAACATCCCAGCCCAGTCCAGATCAAGTCTGTAAGTCTGAGATTAGCCCCTATGTCCAGTACCAGTCTATAAATTCTTCCTCAGACTCACTCAACACATGCAATGATGCTGAATGCAGGAATATCACAGGCCAGTGGGTGGAAAATCTTGTGGATCCAGTGGCAGTGGAAGCAGCTCAGCACTGGCGTGGGTCTCCATGTGGCTCCTCCAGCTCAGGGCTCTGACTCCATCATTGTGTCTCCATCTGGCTTGTCAACAGGAATGTGAAGCAGAGTGTGGGTCTGGCCTCCAGTGAGCTATTTATGTCCGTAGCATCTCTAAATGAAGTCGTCAAACTGCAACCCGATTGACAGACTAAACTCCACCCCTTCACTCTTAATAGTCTCAAGTTGACACCAGATTACGTAACTATCACACTTACCTGTTTAACATATCTAGGACAATGTGTGGTCTACAATTAGATACAGCAAGTGGGGCCCACTCAATGGCATCTAACCACAGCCTACTACCTAGGAGTCTGATGTTTCTCCTTCTTTCTCTGCCTCTCTCTATCCCCTTCCTCCTGTTTGTTCTCACATGCTTTTTCTTCTTTCCCAGAAGAGCTAGGCCACTTGGGTTGAATCCTGGCCAACCACTCACTTCCTGTGTGACTTTGGGCATACCATTTTAGCTCATTTCCCCCTCTATCATGTGGGAATTCAGAGAGGAGCTGCCCCTTAGTGCGTGGGATTTGGTGCATGTTCGTGTGTATCATGGTGCCGGGCACCTAACCGTACATGCGCAGTAAATGTTCTGGGTTTCGTGATCATCCTCACCATTCCTTTAATGGTGCCCTGAGATGGACTCTCCACAAGACCATGCTTACTTGTGGTCACCTGATCCTCAAGCTGTTCTGCCATCCTCTTCTGTCCGTCTTATGAGACACCATTTGGACTGTTAACGTTAGTCAACCAGGGCTTTGTAGTTACTTTCTTTTGGGTACCCTTTGTACAACTTCCTGTGTGTGTTGTTTCTTTAAGGGATTACAAATATGCAGCTTTCAGAGGTGCTCTGTTATTTCCCTAACTTCCACGAAATGTTCCTCACCTGCTACGTGCTCTCTCCCCCACACCACTAGAAAGTACCCTTCACTAAATAGGATTTCTCATACCTAAATTGTTTCGCTCTCTGATCTTCAGGTTCCAATATAAATATTCTGTTGTGGCACAAACAATTAGATACTCAACTGCTAGCTGATAGGTTGTGGTTCAAACTCCAGCAGACGGCTTTCGGTACGGGAAGATCACCACCTTAAAGCCCTATGGAGTTCCACTGCACGCAGTCAGAATGGACTCAGCCCAGCTAAAAATAGCAGATGCAAGATTTGTTCACTCAAACTATGATGATTGGAGAGCGGCCTGCAAGAGTGGAAAAGCTCTGAGCTGCAGTTAGGAGTCCATGCTGGGCTTTGCTTCGTCTACAGCTCAACCTGTATCCAGTACTTGACATCAGAGTCTTAGAGTTTTTACTGGAAAACTTCAGGGGCTTTGTGCGTAAGTGGTCTTTAATCCTTTAATCCCTCTCCTTCTCTCTCTCACTCAGTCTCTGTAAGCTTCTGGGTTCCCAGTCACGTGTCTCTGCCAAGGGACTGTTAAAAAGAAGGAACTTCTTATGTATAAAAATTAGCTATCAAGTAGAAAGCAAATGTTTGGAGAATGATGAGGGCAACAAATGTACAACTGTGCTTGACACAATGGATGGATGGATGGATTGTGATAAGAGTTGTATGTGATAAGAGCCCCCAATAAAATGATTTAAAAAAATAAAAATTAGCTAAACCTCCTTTAAAAAAATAAAACATTTGAATTCCTCACTAGATAGTTCCAATGCTATTTATTACTCAGGAAGATTTTCTGGCTCTATATTTTGGTCACTTGTTGAAGCCGCTTTATCTTCTTTCTTGGTGTGGACTGAGGCGATCTATCTTCTCAGAGACTTTGTGTGTTGTGTATTGGTATGTTTGGCCCAGATTGGTGATTTCATTTTATTTTGCTTTGATATATCCAAGGGAGCAGAACTAAATCTTACTTTTGCCAAGATTACAAAATGTTTTTGTGGAAACATGTACATTCTCAGATGGCTCTCTTTGTGTTTCTCGTGTGTGTGTGTGTGTGTGTGTGTGTGTGTGTGTGTGTGTACCCTGCACAGGTCCTCCAGGAGCAGATCCGTGCCCGGGACAACATTAGCTATGGAACTAATTCTGCCTTAAAGACGCTAGAGATGCGACAGCTCTCCGGTCTGGGAGATCTCCGAGGAAGAGTGGCAAGGTAGGTGTTCAAATGGTGGGAACTTGCTCGTCACAGCAATTTTTCATAAGCTCCATGTTAGCGAGAAATATATTCATGAAGTCACAAGCCAATTCTTCGCATTCTTCTAGCACATTCCCTTCTTTGCTCATAAAATCTATCAGTAGAGGTTAAAGCTGATTGGGAGCATGCCATAGTTTCTTATCGTTCTGAAATAGGAGTTGTCTTTATAGAAGGAAATGTTAAGAGATACTGACTTGTGTATTAACACAGTAATAGTATGCCATTTGAATTCAGTACTCTGAAATTGAGACTTACGTTTTACATGTCTTTGTGTTTTTGTTTTTCTAGCAATTTGTTTTTATTTTATTTCCTGCAATTATCTGGTCCATGATGGAGCAGAATTTTTTTAACTTAAATTATTTTTACCACAATGCTATTTAAACATGCATGCGTAAAACATCATATAAGAATAATGCTTATTGTTCTGATATTACTTTTCCCAAAAGTTTTTGGCATATAATTAACATATCATAGTTCACCTCAAGAAGTGTACAATCATCAGCACAATCAGTTTTAGAACATTTCTTCATTCTTGTACCCATTGTTATTATCTCCCCATTTCCTCATGTCATACACCCAAGAAACCATTCATCCAGCTACTGTTTTTATAGATTCACTTATCTTGAATTTAGTATAGAGAAAAACATTTTTTAAAACAAAAACTAGCAACAATAGCAAAGTAAAACAGATAAAAACCTCAATCAAAAAGAAAGCAGAACATTAAAAACTGGAGCACATGTAAAAGGTGTAAGTGAGATCAAGTGACAGGGTGCTGAGTTTGACCGACTGTGTCTGTAACCATCCACTTTCCCGTGCACTCTGTACGACAACAAGGCGATTCAAATCACTAGTCTATGCTCAGAGGGGATTCACCACCTGTTGTCTTTCCCCTTCACGTTTTGGTTGAAACTGAAATCGCTTCAAAAGGGAGATCAAATGATAAGGTGATGCATTTTAGCCTAACTGCATCTGCCATAATGTACTTTACAGTGCTCTCTGTCTGGTAA